AGTAGAATAGGAAAAAGGAAAGAACATTTAGAGTGTTTACAAAATTACAAGGTGACAATTCAGGTGTTTTAATGTGCACAAAGTAATTCAAAAACATATTTTAGCTTTGTTTTCAAGGAGGAAGCTGCTTTTCAATTGCTATCCCTAGCTACTTGCTACAGAGGGTTGGGGGTTTTTTATTGTTATTGTTTTCCACCACGTAGGTAACACAGATGCTCTGGCACTGAGCTCTCGGGACCAGATCCTCAGCTGCTTTAAAGCTGCACAATTTGCTGCCCTGCAGAGAAAGAAGCTGCCCCAAAGCCATTTCACCATCAGAAAGGTTTGCTCAGGAGAGAGGGACAGAGAGCCACAACTCCCTACCGGGCTTGAACCTCTCTTGCAGCTCCAAGCATCCAAATAATCCCGATACTGCTGCCATGTGCAAAGCTCTCAGGCTGGTACCCAGCACAGGAACACCCTCCTGTCACCAACACATTGATGGGGACAGAGCCACACAGACATTTCCCACCGGGAAGCGCCACGAGCACAGCAGTGCACCTCTAGCAGGCAGCCAGAGGCAAGCTGAACACAGCCCTGCGCAGACTCCAGCAGCGGCAACTGCAAAAACCCTCCCCTCCCATTTTGCAAATTACTGATTTTGTGTTTCGCTGACATTTTACGCTACAGTCAGTTATTGAGAGGTATCTGAAAAGAGCGTGGAGTAAGAGTGAGAAGCATCTTTCACAGTACCTGACTGGTTATCCCATTCAGGTGTTGGCAATCACAGTGAGCTACCAGTTTCAAACCAAACCCTTGGGGCAGGCCACCAGATTTATTTCTCCCTGGTGTCAGGACACCACCCCAGGCAGCACAGCTCAGCGCAAAGAGGGAATTTGCTTCTCTGGACCCAGCCAGGGTAACAACACATTCGCAACCGCTGCCCCGTGCAGGCAGAGGCACCGCAGAATTGCGGTGTGTGGGTCACGCTCTCCTCACCAGAGAAGCTCAAAGCTCTCAAATACAAAGCTGGCATCGCATCCACTCCTGGCATTTCACACTTCTGCCCAGTTATCCTTGTCCGCAGAGCCCAAGCGACAGCTTAACCCAGTGCTACCAGCTCCTCCAGCACAGCTCCCCAGCAGGGTTCGCGGAGATTCACATCAGCTGCTGGGAAACCAGCTCGTGCACCACAGCTCCCCATTCTCTGCTGGGGATCAGGAGCAGCAAAGTTGAGGGGTTTAGTCCCTTGAAAAAGAACAAGTATTTCCAAATGTAGCATGAGTTAAAATAATGCTGAAGAACAAAAGACTTATTCTCCTCCAGTAAGAATCCCCCTGGCGTAAGGAATTCAGTAACTGGTTAGGAAAGTGCACCAGTGTTTGCAGAGTTTTCAGTGTCACACTGCGCCAAATGCACCCCATAGGATTCAACTGCGTATCAGCA